ACATGCTATTTTCATTACATTATTATTGCCTATACTAAACTATAAAACTATCTCTAGATTACCTCTCTTACGCAAATAGGGGTAACGATATTTTGATCTGTTTGTATTTGTATTATCGATGCAATATACAATTAACAATTCTTAATTCTGTAAAAAGCTTCTTCTTTTGGAAAATGAAATAGAATATAATTATGATTGCTGTTCAAAGAAAGAATGTATACCATTACCAGTAAATTAGTATCAGTAATAACGTGCATTTGTTGTTTATCTTCAAGAAATGATGAGAAGATTTCACGTGATTTTGAACACAACAAAATAAAAAAATAAGTTGATTCGGGAATTTAACAAATTCTGGTTCTAAACAACTAGATCGCAGGTTTTTATTCTACAAAATACTGTATATAGATTATGGTACGTTACCTAAAAGCCTGTCACCGACTCGAACCAAACTTTGTAGAAAATGATAATCACGTGGATCTACACTTAAACCGGGTGATTTAGAATTTACAATTTTGGCAATGTACTAACTACAATGTATAAAGTAAAAATAAATGTTACAATTCGTTAGACTTATACACGATTTTGTAATATCAGGAAACATAAAAGAATATTAGTGAGAGAGTAAAGGATTTAAAAAGGTGTGTTACAGTACTATTTTTGATTGACGCTTTTAAGATTTGCGTCGATCACTATTTCGTCCGCCAAATGGATTATGATACTGTATTAGTAAAAAGTTTTCTAAAAAGCATATTCTTTTCTCATTGTTTTAACTTGCGTATGTGTATGTCTTACAAGTAAGTACATATTGTAGAACTTACACTCAACGAATGATACTAATTTCGTTTTCCGGACTGTTCGCCGAATTTGGTTACAAATACCTTAATCGAAAATACTTAATGTTCTTGGTCTGCTCTTGGATTGAAAAAAACAAAATCGACTTGAATGTCAATATGTCAACTATCTTACGTTATAGTGCTCCCAATACGATAAAGCAAATTGTGATTACATAACAAATAAATTTATTCAAGTTTTGTATAAATTTTAATTGGTTAGGCACGAGATTTATACAAAATGGACTATTAATATAATAATTGAAGAGTTTGGCATAGTAAATGCCTCCTATAACTTCGGAAGCTCGATCCTAATTAACATGGTCATCTTTAGATATATGGGTTGGTGGATGTAAGTTATTTATTTACCGAATGATTAAATTATTAATATTATTAACAAATGAGAATATTTTCAAATTGTTGATTGAAATAAGAAAAAGCACGAATAAAAAAAATATTACCTCATTTGATGAAAAATATCCAATTTTTTACAAAATATCAAAAAATTTTTTGGAACGACATCAATTGATCAATAAATCCAGCTGCATTTATAGCGCATAATTGATTTTACATCGAAATGTCTCAACACAATTTCAGAAAAAAGTATCTTTGGTAAGATCTCTTTCCATGAGTTAATCATTGTCAATTTAGAATATGATTATTATTCTTGGTAAAGACTTATTTATGTAAGAAAGTGTGTTTAAAAGTGGTACGCTAGTCGAGAAATACTATATTGGTATCAATCGCATAACGCAGAAGTTAACAAATCAAAAATAAATAAATAAATAATTTACATATATAATTAAAATAACTAATATTATAATTTTATTTAAAATCTTCATGGTCAAGATCAAACTATCAATTTTATTGAAGATAGATAGATCATTACGATTAATTTTGATCAATTTAATAAAAATAAGCTCTTAGCCATTGGATAAAAGAGAAAGCGCGTTGCAATATTTGCAATAATTTATCAATATTGTGATACATTCGATAATAACTTTACTGAGTGATATAAAAAGATAACTTATGAGATAACAAATCAATCATCGTTCCATAATAAATATCATAACATTTAAATATTGGGCATGGACTCAGCATTGGCTCTCATCATCTCATAACGTGAAGAACAAATCATGTACCTAATTACACGACATGAATATTCGCTTGCCTTTATCTTTTCATAAAGATAACAAAATCATTATAAAAATGTATATATTAATTGTTTCGGTGGAAATATGACATTATATGTAAAACATTGACGATCGTAATCTCGTGTAACGAAATCACATTCATTTAAAAAAGTTGATAAGCATTATCTTGCCGAATACTAGTCATGACTCAGTTCTTTCTCGTCTCGTATGAAATGAATGGATGGATGCGAATGCATGGTTTTAAATCTTTGTATAAACATTAGATTTCTTTGTGAGAACAGATTATCATATATATTCGGTTGTTCTGTTTATTTTGTACAAATATTTTTTTTTTTTTTTTACAAAAAAAAATTTGATAATTTTGTTAATGTGATTACTGGAAGATAACTTCGGATTTTTTTCTTATCACTACAGTAAATTTATCCTAACTTGGGGTTTAGTATTTTATCAGATCGTGCATTTACATGTATATTACTTTTTTTTTTCTTCCAGTTTCTTGTATTTTAAATTCATATTAATTGATGCAAGTTACATGATGAGTTGGATCTTTTGCAGAATTGATGATAAATTGTCGGATCCAACAATTTATATATATAAAACCAGTTTATCTCGCCAAAGGAACGCGGTTTCGATTGGATAAAAGATTTTCAAATATATAAATGTCACATGACAATCAAGTAACAATCAACGTGATCGTCTATCTCAACCCCAACGGAAAAATGGCTTATCGTGACGAATAATAAACTTATCTTTATAGTACCGACTATAATCGAAGATATGGTCTATCAGCCGAAACCAAAAGAAGGACAGCGAACAGTATAATAAAAATACTTGGTTTAAGAAATATTATCCTACTTTTCGAAGCAATTCTTGATTAACAATACATATAAACAAATAATGCATCTGCCGATTATTGACTTTTATCATCATCGTCCTTTTCTTGTAAGACCGTTCCTCAATTCGCTTTCCCCAGCACCGTATTCTTATCTTGTCCGTTAATGGCGTTGGTTGGTGCCAAAGTAGTTCAACGAGCATTAACTTCGTTAACGGCGGTATCTTTGGCGCTCGATATCAATCAAAATCGGTTTTCAATCGGAAAAGAGAATATTCTTTCAAATATCACCATTTTAATTTAGCTACATATTTATACATATTTACATAATCAACCTGTCAATTTTTGGAGTTTGATATCACTTAATAAATAATCTATTTATTACCTTGGTATCGAATTTTGAAATTTTAAATGTATTTAGGTACCAATTCGTTTGAAACTAACATTTTTTATATGCTGTTTACCATAAATGTAGGAGCAATTAGTTTTAATAAATAAATTGAAATAAGACGAAATGAAATTCGAAGTTTATTTTAAATAAAAAATTATTTGAAGAATTTATATTCATTTATATGAAAGATTATAAACGACAGTCTTTAAAATAAATGAAGTTTAGAAAAATTTGCGACACGAGAAAATTTTTAAAAAATGAATTATTTTTTTAAAAAAAATTCGCTGACATGTAGAAAATTTTTACAAAAAAAAAAAAAAATACGAGAAACTTTTTTGCGATAAAATGAAATACCTAAAATAGCTGACTAAAGTATCCCCTGACTATTGTACCCTCCCCACATTTTTAAAGTCGAAAAATGTATTGTATCACGGATATGATATCACTGAAGTTTTAAATTTTTATTTAGAAAATGTATTGTACCCGGGAATATAATACTTGAAGTTCAGTTTTACATTATTCAGATTTTACATTTTTATTGGTTTCGGCAAATATTCTTGTATTCCCTCCTCTGATCATCGAGTATCGTACCCCCCAAAATTTGAAAATTTGTATCGGGCCCGGGGTATCTTAGTCTGCTGTTTAAGGTATATATATTGTGATATATATATTTGTTTGGAGAAAACACCACACGAAAAAAAATCGCGAAACAAATTGTGACGCGAAAAAATTTTCTTCAAAAAACGCAAGATTTTTCCTGCTTATAAGAATATTATGAAAATATTGTAATGCGGGGTTATGCATGACAAGTCATTTCACCTATCCAAATATTTGTGGCTAAATCTGGCGAAATCTTTTTCATTTCAAGTTTAAATTAGAAGGATCTGCTGTATTTGACATATTGGTTTTATGTGTATAATTGATAAAGTAAAATATGTTGCGTCGTCTTCTAAAAACTTTCCAAAGTTAGTATTTTGGCTGTTTTAGTTGGGGTTTGTTTTGACTATGCTATAAATATCCAAATATTTGGAATATTTGTTTAAATTTATAATTGTGAAACCATCTCGCAAGATACATTAAAATATATTTGATACAAATGTTGAAATTTTAAAGTAAACACATACATAACTTGCTCTCTACTTGGAAAATTCTATTATTATTCTAAAGAAGGGTTTAGAATCTATAATTCTAAAAGTTCAATGTTAGATTTGATGCATAACATTGTGTTTGCCCCCTAAATTTACTTTATTTACAAATAATAAAAGAGACTCTTATTATTATTACCTTACATATATAATGTCTGGTACTTATTTTAAAACTTATACTGTAAAAAATAATGTTTTTACAATAATAGAATATTTCTAGATAATCGCCGACAAAATTTTATATATTACAATTAATTGTACTTGTAATCTTTTTTTTATAAAAAAATGATTCATTTTAATATATGTAGCTGTAAAGCAATTGTATTTATTTTGATAATAGCAAACGTAAATTTCACATGTGAAAATATATGTTAGAATTAAATAAGAATTACTGTGTCACTTCAAATTATATTAAAAATAATTTTCATAGATCTCGGAAAAAAAACCAACAAAAATGTACACAGCGCGGTGTGTCGTGTCACAAAATTTATCAAGTTTTACAGAATTTAAAGTAAGTAATATATATTCTTTTTCTATATAATTGCAAAGTCTACAAGCGGTTTTGTTTTCATAAATTTTTTCCCTTTATTTTTTTTTCAAAATATATATATATACATATATAATCCTTTGACCAAAGCATATCTCGTGATGAACGCTATTGAATTTAACTTTTATCACCTTTCACCAGACGGGATTTTCTATCAAGTAATTTGTAAGATTATTCAAGAAAATTCTGTTTCCGCGAATGATTATGATTATGATCACGAATTTTTTTATCAAAGCTCAAATGATCCCACATTATATTATCATGTTGGGTGTAAACACTTATCACATCATGTAATCGAACATTTATTAAATTTGAGTGAAATAGAGCTTGAATCTTCACGTACAACAATATTATCTTTACAACAAAAATTATGCCTCGAACAAAGTTTGAAGCTAAAACTTGATACTCTCTTTTGGCTACATCATAGAAATGTAGCAACATATGTTGCTTCGTCAGCCAGATATTAATTAATCAAAATTGTATTAATAGCAATGGCAACGGTACAAGTAACTTCCAAACCATATTTTCATATGATTCATTTGATTCTGTTTAAGATAAAATACATGATTCATCTATTTATGAAATTAATTTATTTAGCCACGTTTTTTACGACGAACTACTTGCATTAAAAAATGGTCGTTTAAAATAAAATTATTTATAAATATTAAAAAAAAACTGGTTAAAAGTCAAAAGAAGCGTGTTTCAATTAGCAAAATGAGCGAAAAAAAAATTTCATCCCTTAAATGGTAATGATTTTCATTCAAATTTAGTCGTTTATGCAAAATTCTACACGTGTGTAACACAAATATCAATCGCACCGCATTATATGGATGAAAATCATTTTCATATTAAATTGATATTTGTGTAACCATATCGCACTACTTCATTTTAAGTTAGTTCAAATGTATTATCAAGGAATAAATTTTTTTTTTCCCCAACATATACACAAGTTTCGTCTTGAAATTAAGGTATTTTTTAAGATCCTTTTAAAAGTATG